TTTGTGATCGAATGAATTTAAGAATCCGAAAAGTGAAATTACTAGACCTTGTATATTATCGAATGAAAGTATTAACAATACAAAAATAATAAAAACAGTAACATTGTTTTAAGGTTTACTTGAAATATCTAAATAATTAAATGATACAGTATGTTATAATTTTATATTTGTAGCAAAAGAAAATAGAGATTATAATTTCTATAAACGCTATTAAAACAATATTCTTGTGAATAATTAATCAACAACTGACATACAAACATCCAATAGCCACAAGAATACGAAGAACCATTTTACTTTAACTCCAAACTACTTGGAGTTAAAAGTAATATACTACAAGAAACATATCACAAACAAATTGTAACGTTTTTTACTTAATAAGATATTTCCAGTGTTTGTAGATGAAACATTTATGTACACAGAAGATATGAGATGAGATAGAAACATTACAGTACATTCTTCGAAACACAGATTCTTTGTTTAATAATATATTGAAAAATAGACAAATTTTACATGAAGCTTTGTTTTCAAGGAGATATGAATCGAAAAGTCATTATCAAAACAAATAAATACTTGATCTATTAATAAATGTAATAGATAAACATTGATATTATCAATGGAAGAGATATTTATGTTATCGCAACTGGAAGAAGAGTATCAGAAATTTTCCACTTTTTTATAGATAAAATATGGATCATTAACCCCTCAACAGCGATAGCCGCCATATGGTGCGTTTGTAAAAATTCACTTTTTTCGCTCTAATCACCATATGGTGATTTCAATTTTTTCCTCAATATATCTCTACAACAATCATTAAACGGTACTCTTCCTCTTAATTAGCTATTGGTTATATCGTTCAAAATTTGATTGTTCAATTTTTCATTGCATTTCAATTCAATTTGCAGTGTTTACTCGCACGAAAAAATTCCGCGGTTAAGGGGTTAACCTGTTACCTGGGGATGACGAGTATCTTTGGCTGATTTCAGATTTTCTAATTTATTTCCTAATAGGTTTTTACACTGAACCATGTTACAATATCCGTTAGGAATATAAATTTACAAAAAAATTTACATATTATTCAAAATCTAGTTAATTGGAGTACGTCGCTTCGTATCGTTGTCACTGTTATCGTTTCCTTTTGCTTGTGCCCGTATGTATGTTCGAAATCAAGAAATTACCCGGGTAACAGGTATATTATATTCTATGCAATATTGTAAGGCAAAGGTACATAGCTTTCATGCAGAATTCCTAAGAGGAACAAGTACATATTTCTGCATTGAAAATAAACAAAGCGATCTAAAAGGAAAGGTGAAGCTATGTAGAAAT